TGGTTTTTAGTTTGTTTTTTGTCTGTTTGGGAGCTGACACAGTCTCTATGGAAATAGGTTTTTGGGGGATAACAGGAGGAGAGGAGCTGCAAAGAGGCGTGTAAGACTGCAACTCTGGATAGTCATATTTTGGGGGGTTCAATAAATTTGGCCAGATTTCTAGAAATGAGAGCTGCTCCATTCAAAGTGGGATGGATGCCGTCTGTCTTAACAAGAACAGGTTTCCTCCAGAAAGTTTCCCAATTATCTTTAGAGCCCACATAATCTTTTGGACACCACTCAGACAGGCAGCAATTTAAGGATAACATGCAGCTAAACATGCACTCCTGGTCATTGCCAACATTGATTTGGCAAAGTTACACACCGATTCAATATTGATTTTAGTGACCTCCAATTGATGTAACTGGGTGTCATTACTCCCAGCGTGAATTATAATTTTACTTGTCTTCCCCTCTGCTTCTCTCCTCCTGTATTCTGTTGGCTGTGGTCACCATGGAGACAGACCTGTTGTTCTGTGCATGGGAGCAGCTACACATCATCAACGTCCCTCTCTGTCTGTCACTGACTTCTGTGTAACAGTAGAAAATAGACTGTGAATACTAAAAAACAAAGGTGCTATCGCCTTGCCTAGCTTGGAGTCACCGCACCTAGTACTCCGATTACCACTGTTACCTTCACCCTCCACATCTTCTCAAGCTCTTCCCTGAGCTCTTGGTATTTCTCAAGCTTCTTGTGTTCCTTCTTCCTGATGTTGCTGTCATATTAAATCGCTACATCTATCACTACGGCCGTCTCTGTCCGGTTGTCTGGTTGGTTTGCCACCACCATTTTGTCCGTCTGTATCTGGAAGTCCCACAGGATCTTAACCTCGAGACTTCCAGGTCATATTCGGCACAGATGTTTCTGTATACTATGCCGGCCACTTGGTTATGACGTTCCATGTATGCCCTGCCTGCTAGCATCTTGCACCCTGCTGTTATGTGCTGAATTGTCTCAGGGGCATCTTTACACAGCCTGCACCTGGGGTCTTGCCTGGGATGATAGAGCCCAGCCTCTATGCTTGTTCCTGTGTTGCCATGATTAGCGCCTCTGTGCTGTCTTTCAGTCCAGCTTTGTCCAGCCACTGTGGTACTGACACTAACTAGCCTCTAACCTCCTTCCTTGAGCTTAGCATACAACCTCAGGGCTTGAAGTTGGCTTCTAATGTTGTCCACCACATCCACATTGAGTTCCTGATAAAGACTCTTAGGGTCCTGTTGATCTTGTACAGGTCTAGGCATTCCAGTATCCAGCTGTGGGGCATTGAGTCATAGGCCTTCTTGTAATCAATCCAGGGAGTGCACAGGTTTGTCAGCCTGGTCTTGCAGTCTCGGCTGACTGCTCGGTCTACCAGTAGCTGGTGTTTTGCACCTCTGGTATTCTTGCCCGTCCCTTTCTGTGCATCGCTCATGTACTGACCCATGTGCCTGTTCATCTTAGCCGCCATGATGCCCAACAGGAGCTTCCATGTGGTACTGAGGCAGGTTATTGGCCGGTAGGTGGATGGGAACAATCCCTTCTGGGGGTCCTTGAGGATCAGGACCATCCGGCTTTCAGTTAGCCATTCCGGGTGTCTCTCGTCAACTAGCAGCGGGTTCATTTGTGCTTGTTGGTGTTGTTCTCAAATTGTTCCCCTGCCACTGAGAGCACACCTTGACCGGTTCTGTGTAGAACAGCTGGTGTTATTCTCCTGCATTCTATCTCTCTCATGTACCTCTTTAAGCAGCTGGCTAAGGCTGTGAGTCTTTGCTTGGCAGTTTCCAAGGCTTCAGGTATTGGACAACTTGCTGTACTTCTTAGGCACCTTCTTTGTCGCACCTTTCTGCAGCTCCAATAGTTGGCTAACCTCCCTCCGTGCTACCTTGATGCCTCCAGTCTCCTTCAATGCAGTAACAATGCAGTTACAGCTGCATTGTTTTACAATGAAATTAAGAACTAAACAATTTTGATATTCTATATTTGTATTTTTCCTTTGGCTCTATTACAGTGGTATTACATTACACAACACAATAAGTTAAGAGACTGTAAATAATAGGAGACATTATTAGTTTAAGCTGCAGCTGCAGCTGCAGACCAAGACAGTACAGTGTAAGTGTAAGTGTTATTCCAGAATTGTCTCTGAGCTGACAGCTCTGTGAGGCTTGGGCATTTCCACAAAGATGTATAGACAGTTTTTCTCTTTCAAGGAAGTTTGTGTTTAATAAGGTTTGAAATAAATGTTCCTGTCAAGCAAAACTCTCAGTACTCAAGCTCTCAAAAATCTCTCTAGCGTCATATGCTTGAGAGATTATTTGAGGTTGCATCAACACACATAAATGAATGTACTCATACCATTGTTATCCTCCACATAGCTAAGGGAACTTTGCTAGAAAGCAACAAAAATTAATCTCTAGTTACAATTGTGGTGTGGCAACACTTTAGTGGTTTTAAACCCATCGCATCTACCCCTGACTGTCACCTCTGTGTTTGTATGTCTTTGTGTGTGATTGAGAAATGCAGGAATAAACCAGAACAGGCATAAAAACTATGGCTTTAGATTATGGCTACTCTTATCACATTTAATGATTCAGTATCTTTGGTTCAGTTGTAAACATTGCACAAGCTATTACTCCACTTTCCCCACCACTCTTCAAACTGCTTTCACAGTCAGTTAGAGGTCAACTGAAACAAATCTTTAATGGCAAATGCTGAAATGTTGTTCTTTAAATGCTGCCATCATTAACCATTGCTTATAAAAGCTGTGCTTATTTGATGATTGAAGAATATTGTTTTGGTGATGATGGCCGCAATCATGTGTCCAACAGGGAAAGTCGTACCCATTCAAAGGCTCCTTGCCTCCCATGTGGAACCCCATCGCTTTGATGGACTTCAACAACCTCTTTAGAACAATGGATAAGATGGGCGAGGAGGTAAAGCAGTTCTCACTATTAATGAGTATTCTTATTAATACACATTATAGATTGGTTTACTGGACAGGTTGCACACCTGCTACATGCCTAACTCGTGCTGAACATCCTCCTGCATTTCAGATTCCCAGAGACGCTCCCTGGAGAGCTCCCCATGCTGAGGAGTGGGACAAGATGACCATGCAGGAACTCTTTGAAAAACTCTGCTGGACCAGGTAACATGTTCAAAATGTTTCCCGTTTGTGCAGAGAATAGGTCTAGCTATTCATCCTGTTATCTCTGAACGTTTATATCCAGGGTAAAGTTGTATTGTTAAATCATGTGACACAAATGTTGAAGGTGGTCTCTAACTAAAGAAATGTCGTTTTATTTTCTAATATCTCATATGAGTCAGCGAGGCCGGCTGGTGGAGTGCTAGGTTATAAGCTAATGTTAGCAACCTCAGTTACTAAGGTTTCATGGGTGCAGCATTCTGCACAACAGACTTGGCATGAAATGCTAGAATTCCACTCACTGAAGCTGGAAGTCAAATTAACGCTCTTTGGTTAATTTTGGTTAATTGGCTAATTCCAATAAAATGATCTAAAAGGCTCCAACACCACAGTCACAGTTA